CTGAGTACTGTGGGCACACCTGTTCTGGTGTTTTCCTTCTCAGTTAGTTCAGGGCTGCTATTGTTTCCTGCATGAATTGCCCCCTTTCCCGCCTCTGCTTCCTCAGCCTTGGCGTTTTCTTTAGACCTTCAGGGGACTTTCCTGAGTCTCTCTGTGGGACAAGATCCAGGGAGAGTTCCACTCTGGACCCATGATCACAGGGAAAGCCATGAGACAAGGCTGAGGTTCGTTACCCCTCAGTGGGGATTTCTCTCCTGAAGCTAATGTACTCTCCCTCTCCCTCCTCTCCCCCTCCCTCCCCCTCCCTCCCTCCCTCTTTCTCTCTTTCTCTCTCTCCCTTCCCCTCCCTCCCTCCTTCCCTCCCTCCCTCTGTGTTTTCTGGGGAATCTGGTTAACACAGGTCCTCATGTTTGCAAAGTAAACATTTTAGTGACTAAGCCATCTCCCCAGTGCCTTTCCTGAAGTTTTTGCGGATTGTCTTGTTAAGCTCCTATTTTGTAGATGAAGACAGTGCAGGGCCCATGTATGCTCACAACTGCTTCATAATGGGCCATGGGAAATCTCTGTAGAGTGGCCTGGCTGTGTGCTGGATCCCTGTGAAAGGGAAGACAGAAATTCAATTCTGCTTTGAGTCTCAGTTTCCTGGCCTGTGAGACAGGGGTGTGTGTCACCCAGAGTCAGCGAGAGTCTTGTATGGGAGCTGTCATTCTTAACAGTGATAGTTGTGAACCACCTGTTTTGTACCAGGCACCAGACCAGACTCTTCCCATAGGTAATGCCTGCTTTGCACACTAACCCAGGAAGGGGCTATTATTCCTGTCTTTACATTAATGAGTGAAGGCTCAGAGAGGTGTCTGAACAAGACAATGTAAGGCCAGAAATTTGAATCCAGGTGAACGGGCTCCAGAGCTAGGCCGTGGTCCCTTCCCCTTACTCTGGAAATGACCTCCCCACCACCCCCGACACATCACACACATGCACACATGCACACGCGCAAGAGGGAGGCAGAAATGGAAATGTCTTCCCAGCAGGCCACAGTCCCCACCCCCCAGGAAGCTGAGTCATCTCTCTCTGTGTCTGTTTTGAACCCTAACCATCCAGCAGCTGAGTAATCTGAGAACCAAGTGTCTAAAACAAAAAGCTGGGGGCCTCCAGGTGCAAGGCACCTCCCTGGTTCTGTGCCAGCCACAGCTCTCCCAGCCTGCCCTGGGTGCCTTGGTCATGAGTTCAATGCTAAGCTGAGAGCAATGGGCCTGGAATGGAGTTGACCCATCTGAGGTTCACCTTGTTGAGGAGCCTCTGCCTCCAGTCTGGTGCAGCCCTGTCCAGTCCTGTTACTGGCACTTTCAAGGTGTGTAAATCATGGCTGGGAAGCTCACTATTACCTTTGCACGCGCGTGGGACCATACCCAGAACCCTGCCTCCCAGGTAGAACCCAGTCCAGAGACCTCATCCTGGCCCCAGCCCTGCAGAATGATGTTCCCTGCAGATGGAAGGCCAGGAGGGGATTTCAGTACTGGGAGAAGAGCTTAAGAACTTCTTAGAATTACCCCAGGGCAACCCACCTCAGCCTCTTCAAACACACCCACTTTCTCTAACCAGATTGTCCTTGACAATCAGACCTAAGATTTCTTTTGTTTACAATCATGCAAAAGCAGCCAGGATTTGCGGGCCACATTTCTATAATCCCAGGCAGGAAGAACTGTGAGTCTGAGGCCAGCCTGGGCTACAGAGTGAGACTGTCTCAAAGCAAACAAATACCAAGACCAAAGCAAAGCACATCAAGATGGTGTGAAAGCAATATGCGCTGAGAGTCTGGGGACCCATCCTAATGACCACTTTCTTCAGTACAGCACCCAGTCTGTCACCTGAGATACTCAGCTTAGTGCCCGTGACTTTCCTGAGCCTGTTTAACGTGGCCTGAGCCGGGGCTATGCTGTGGCATCTGCAGTAGGGTTTTGATTTAGGATTTTTCCAGTTTACCAAGGTATATTTCTGCAAGTCAAGGACTGTACCCCGACTCTACTCCTGGTTCAAATCCCTCCGAGGGTGCATGCACGTATACATAGAGCACAACGTGAGGTGTTGTTCCCAGATGCTAGCTACTTTTGTTTTTGAGACAGGGCCTCTCATTGGTGTGAAACTCACTGATTAGAATTAGATTAATCTGACTGGCCAATGGACCCCAGGATCTGCCTGTCTCTGCCTCTCCACTGAGAGGAGGTGGGTCTTATTAACACATAGGCCTGCAATCTGCTGTGACAGGTGGTTTCTAGGGATCGAATTCACATACTCACACTTTCTCAGCAACCATGTCACCAACTTAGCTATCTCCAGAGCCCTGTATCCCCTCTTGAATGACAGCTGAAGCTCTCACTCCATGGATTACTCCGAGGCCTTAGTTTGGGCAGTCAAGATTTCGCACCCACACATATAAGCAAGGATGAACAGGTATCCTATTCGCTCCCTGCCTCAGCCTGGGAACCCTGACCTTCACAGCATAGTGGGTGGACAGAAAGAGCAGAAGATGTATTGAATGAATGAGTCAATGACTGGTGAACAATGATGAAAGGATTTTTATCTCTGTCCTTTCTCTGGGACAATCACACATCAAACTTAGCAGAGCCCCTGGTTGTTACTGCTATTTAGTAAGAAACAATACTCCTTTACATTTCAACAAATGCTGTTTATTTTTTCCTGACTGCATAAAATTTTATTGTACAGAAAGTCATGCTTTTAAAAACCTATCCTGTATCTGTGGACTATGTGATCATTTCAATTTTATTATTAATAATGATACAATAACTATCCTTATATATATGAATTTGAGCCTAGACAGTTTTTTGCCACCTTAAGTTTATGTAAATATTCGTGGATGGCTTCTTTTTTTATTTTTATTTTATGTGTATGGGTGTTTTGACTGCATGTATGTGTGCACCATGCATGTGCAGTGCCCATAGTGGCCAGAAGAGGGCACCAGATTGCCTGTAACTACATTACAGATGTTTGTGAGCCACCATGTGGTTGCTGGGAATTGAACCTGGGGCCTCTGGAAGAGCACCAGTGCTCCTAACCACTGAGCCATCTCTCCAACCCTGACAATTTCTTGTGGTACCCTTAAGTCTTAATATGCTTTAATATTCTCAGTGCATCTATGAAATTTCTAAAAATATTTTATTTATTTATTATGTATACAATCTTCTGCCTGCATGCCAGCAGAGGGCATCAGAGCTCATTCAAGGTGGTTGTGAGCCACCATGTGGTTGCCGGAAATTGAACTCAGGACCTTTGGAAGAATAGCCAGTGCTCTTAACCACTGAGCCATCTCTCCAGCTCCATCTATGAAATTTTTATTGGTCTTTATATCATAGTTCTCACTTCCTTTTCCTTCAGACGAGTTCATTGTGTGCGGCTTTGACCTTAGACCTATGTCTGTGTGTGTTCTCTGTTTCGAGTGTCTACTAGGTATCAGGCCTTGTCTAGGAGCTGGATCTAGAGATGATAAGACAGAGAGTCCCAAGCGTCTTGGAGATCAGGGGGTCGTGGGGGAAGATAGACAGTAAATGCAGGGGCTTACCTGGTACAGCTGAAGACGCAGGCTGTGGGAATGTGGCTCTGTGCTGGAGAGAGCAGAGGGGCTCCCTCGGAGTGGATTTGGAGGATGGGGAGGGCTGGAGAAGGGCATGGCCGCAGAGGGAACAGTAGGCGAAAGGTGCAGTTGCAGAAGCTAGACCCTGCTCATCCCTACCTCTCCACTGAAGCTCTCTCCAACTCACCTGGGCACCGGCTCCTTTATCACGGCTCCTCTGTGCCCTGGCTCTAGTCTGATCATTGTTGCCAGTGTTGACTAGAGGAATTCCACAGAGCTCTTCTGTCTCAGGCCTGGTAACATTGCCAGCTCCTATAGCACTGACTTTCTGTTGCTGTGGTATGCTCCCCAAACATCCCATCTGTGTAACAGCACCAAGCGCAGTTCATGGCATACTGCTCTCCCCATTCTATAGATAGAGAAACTGAGGCCCAGGAAAGTCAGCTGTCCTAGCTAGCAGAGCTAGAATTCAATTCCAGGCCCCTTCTTCTAGAGTCCATATTCTTCATGGACTTAGCTATGCTTACATGAAAGCTAATGAGATTACTAGGCAGTCAGTAGGGCCTGGGGTCTACACAGATCCAAACTTCATTTCCTTGTAAAGGGTGAAATTGGTCCCTTGGAGATTTCCATGTTTGTGTTTTGTTAATATGTAATGTTTGCCTGTGCAAAAGAAAAGGGGGGGAAAAACCGGTAATAGCTAGTCCCTTCCTCTTGCTCTGTGGGTAACCACAGCTAACAGCCTGGTGCCCTTGATGATGTAAATCCAAATGCAAATGCTTCTACCCAATGCATGTATGCACAAGTGCATACATGCCACACACACAAACACGTGTGCATAGGCAAACACATGCACACACATACGTGCGCACACACAGTTCCTACTTTTATAAAAACTGGAGCATGCCCTTGGCTTTCTCTCCCAACCAGTTCCAAATTGGCACCCGCAGACAAGCCCCGCACCCCCTGGTCCATAGAAGGATGTGTCGCATGTATTCAGTCAGCTCTGGCTTCAGATGTTCATCCTGCCTCCGGTTTGTGTAATGATTAGCATCCTCCGGTGCGCCTGTGTGTGGGATGCAGGTATTGCCCCAGAGTGGGTGCTCAGGAGTCTAATTGCTGAATGAAAGGTGTGCAGATTTGCACCTTCACAGGTGCTGCCAATTTGCCTTCTGAGGGGCCTGCCAGTGTGGCGACTTCTCCCAAGCAGCATGCCTCTGAAGCCAGGGGTAACTGAGAGCAAGGCTGCCTTCTCTCTCCTGCTCCCGGAGCCCTGGCATGGTGCTCCAAACATGTGGGCCCAAATTGGGATAGAAGATGGATTTGGATCAAAGAGGTTAAATAACAGGTTTTTCCGTTTCACCTTGTAGGAGCGGGATGGGGGGGGGGTGCCGGGCCTCCAGCCAATAGAGGACCAAGAGTCGTCGCGAGGGCTTATAAAGCTGCTATTTCTGGCATTTTTTCTCTTTCTCTGCTGATTATGCAGCAGCATCTCGCAGAGGCTGTCGCGGGTGCGTTCTCTCGCTGCCTGGGTTTCTGTGGAATGAGGCTCAGGCTCCTTCTCTCAAGACACTGGTGCATTGCAGGTGCGTCTCTACAGAAGGTAAGCAGCGATGCTTGCTGCTTCAGGGGTGGAGGCGCTCAGGCTGGCTCTGGAGGGCCAAGATGGGTGATGCTGGATCCTGGGTGGGGTTAGGCAGGAACTGGTGCCTGCCACGCTCGGCAGCGAGGTTACAGTGCAGGGTCCGCGGGCCTGGTGCTGGCTCTTCCTCTCTGATAAGGAAGTCTGATGGCACTGACTCTGCTGAATAGGATTAGCCACCAGTCTTGAGGCCCAGGACACTCAGGAAGCATTCATTTCTTCATGTATCCCTCCATGCATTCATACATCTATTTATGTATCCATTCATCCTGCATTCAGCTCACGTATAGCAGGCCTAGCCAGATGTAGGTGTTTGTAGGGTGAGGGTGGATTGGAAGGGGGTCTTGCTGACTTAGACAAGAAACAGTGAGAACAGTGATGGTGGCAGCCCATGACATGGAAGGACCCAGAAGACACTGGGCTGGGGAGTGGGAGGGGGTCTTCTGAGAAAGGGGTGCAGTGCAGCTAGAGATGGTACCAGGAATGAGATTCTGGTAATTGGAGAAGCAATCAAAATTCTCCCCTCATTTAGAAAAGGCCACCTTTCCTCTTGTCAAGTAAGGATACAGGAAACCGGCAGCTGGGATCTCCATGGCCACCCTTTTGGAGAAGAGAGGCATAAGGAAGGGAAGGAGTATGGTCATGGCCCCAAGGGCAAATGCACAACGTAGCAGGTGAAAGAGGCTCCTGTCAGTGGCATTTCCCAGCAGCCCCTAGGGAGGTGACTGAGTGGGGTGCAGCGGGGGTGGGGACATTGCTGCTGACAGTGCTATACCTAGATCAGGCCTGATCCTTCTGGCTCTCTCATTTCCCACAGTCACTGTTGGGGATCTGGTTTCATGCATGTGCATCCCAGAAATGTAAGCTGACAGCTCAGGCCATGTCCCTCATGTGAACATTAGGGGAACACAGAGAGACCAGGAACCAGCATCCCTCATGCCTCTGAGGGCATCCTTCCTAGTGCCCATAAAGTCACAAAGAATTGTCTGAGACACTGGGCCCAGCACTGCCCAGGGAAGGTCTTACAGCCAGCTGACCAGGGCAGAAATAGCTATGGGTGCTTGCCAAGCAATAGGGCCTGGGTTAATGGCCACTTTCAAATTCTAGCTTTGCCCTGAGTAGTCTGTGACATAACAAGGGCTCCCGAAACTGCCCGAGTCTCGGTGTCCACACCTGCAAAGTGGGCGCTGGCACCTTCTTTGTGATAGTGTGTGCACATATGTGTGCATGCACACAGATATACACGCATTGCTCATACTTGGCCTAGCAGCTAGAAGGGTCTCCGTCCATGCTGAATGGAGGGATGGCCCAGGACAGCTCAGCTGGGGAGGTCAGGATGCTTGACGGCGCATGTGCTCTGGTGCAAGCATGTGTGGTCAGAGTCTCCATGTGTGTCTAGAGTGGGAGGCAGGCTTAGAGAAATTGCTCTGGTCACCCCCATGGCTTTCCCTATGGGGAAGGGAGGGCACTATGGGACTTGCTGCTCCCTGGAACCAGAATTGACCCTTAGCAGACCTCTTCTTGCACAGCTTCCTGAAGACTGGTAGGCAATCTGGTGTCACAGGGACAGGAAGCCAAGTCACCAGCTGCTGATTGTCACCTGTGTGTTGGGAGTCTGGGCTGGATACATGGAATGACTTTGGGAAGGGAGAGTGTTCAGTCCATGTAGACTTCTGGCCAGGAACAGAAACAGAACATAGATCTAGGACCTGGCTTAGAGCAGGTCTCCTTTTCATGGCATCACTGTGTGGCCTCAAGCGGGTCATTTTACCTCTCTGATCCTAAGAGGATGACAAGGGACAAGATGTACAAAGCATAGTGTTGTGCTTCGTGAATAAAAATGCCACACTTTTCTAGGGAAGGGGCCCAGGGAGCTTTGGATGGGCTGTGTCTGCTGCAGACTGGCGGGAGGCGGGCTCCCACTGAAGGCTTGTATGAAGAAGACAGGTGGGTAGAGTGGGATCCAGCCATTGTGTCATGTCTGGGTGAGCTCCTTAGAGAAATAATTCCAGCCGGTCCACCAACTGCTCTCGTCCTACCATGCTGGCACTCACTGGTGTGAGAGGTATTGTTAGGGTGGACTCCAGCTAGAGATTAACTTCCTGTCTGAGACCCACAGTGTCCCCAACGCCATGCTCAGCTGCCTTCTTCAGGGACCCACCTATCGTTTCTGAGGTCGGATCCTGAGGTGGAATGCCATTGGAGGAGGCTGCCTCTGTAAACCCACATGGACCTGAAAAAAGCCACAGGTGGGTGGATTCCTGCCACTTTGGGCTCTGGAGGCCATTTTCCAGGGAGGCCACCACACCACATGCACGCCCACCCTGGGGAGTGTCTGTTGAATTCGTCACCAGAGCAGCCATTAGGGGAGTTAAGACTTCCATTTTTCTAGCTAGGAGATTCAAGCCACTCCCTTATCTCTGAAGAACCACGAGGCTCTGAGGCCGCTCATGAAGGTTGTGAGCATGGACTGTGCACCGACACCCTGGAGGGCTCATCCTGGAGGAAACGAGACTGGAGGCAGCCTCTTGATCACCCCGCTACGCCACCTTAGTGTCTGGTGCTGCCCACTGGAAACTTAGGCGTAGGCCTGGACACAGCGTGACCCCTTTTCCATGCTGCTGTGGCCCACCTGCTCATGTTGCTGGCTGTCCTGTCAAAGCTCCATCATCTGCTGTCTGGGTGACTTCAGGAGCCTCCTGCCCTTAACTTTCCCATTAGAATCTTCCCTCCCTGCAGCCAGCTCAGGGAACTGCTTGATATGTCCGTCCCTTGCGTGGACTCTTGCGGCTGGCTGCTCCTCCGCACCACTGTGTCCACCCCAAAGCCTCTCCTGCCCGCCCGGGGCTCATCCACTCCACACTCAGGGGTCTCTGCTCCCTCCAGGATCCTGTCTGTCATCCCCTAAAGCTCCTTCCCCAGCCAGGCTGCTCTGCCTCCTACTTTTTAAATCTTCAGTCCTCTGTGTCCACGGTAGGGTTCCTTTAGACCTAGAGCTCTAATCTGCAGAGCGGGCCAGGACATCAAGGCTTTGCCAAAGCCTCCTCTGGTTGTCCCTCCCTGCATGTCATGTCGTGGTCCCTGGAGGATCACTGTGAGGCTCTGGAGGACCGCACTCATGGATGATGCACCTTTATTTTCCTACCTGCTGGGCGTTTCTGCTTGGGATTCACTTACATAGACAGGACATGAAGAGAGTACCCTGCAGTTAAGTCAGGCCCCATAGACAGAGACCTTCAGAGTCCCCAGGCTGTGGTTTGATGTGGCTGTGTGGCCTAACCTCTCCAAGCTTGCAGAGTCATGAGGATCAACAAGATGGCACGTATCATACATCTCTTCTGCTCGCTGGGTGTCATTATTCCCCTAGGACACTTGGCACATTTAAGTGACCCCTTCCATTTGCTTCAAGCAGAAAAAACTTGAAGAGGGGCCAAGCACATTAGCCTTCAGTGCCCCACAAGGAAGAATGTGCCATAGGACCCTAAACAGGGACAGCAATAGCAGCCACCAGGGCACCCTGTGATGCGGAAGCCACAGAGGAAGCCACAGGCCAGGCGGACGCCAGCTGCCTCCAGGGGATGAGGCTCTTCAGATGTGCCAGCGAAGCAGCCCTCACGCCTGCCCTTGCCTGCTCCTTCAACCGCAGCATCAGATAAGCCTGGGGACAGCTGTTGGCTTCCTCTCTGGGGAGGGTAATCGCAGTGCCATCTGTGGGCGGGCTTTGCCTCCCATCATCTCTCTGGCCTCTACTCCCTTCCCCTGCCTGCTTTGCCCGCCTTGATGTCCCCTTGCTGACCAAGGCGACACCTGCACACTCCCATGTGCAGGGCTTGCACTGGCTGCTGGGAAATGCAGATGCTCCAAGTTGGTGCCATCTTGACTCCCCCCTCCCCTCTTACCACTGTCCATCTTTCTGTAATTTCGTCCTAAAAGTCCAGCTTGACTGGCTTAAGTGGAATCCCCTCACCAGCTCACCGTCTTCCGTCCCTTTGTGTTTAGCTTTCCAATGTGCTGTGTGAGCCACTTGTTGATTCTGAGTATTGATGTTTTCCCCAGCTCAGGACAGTAAGCCCCAGTGGTCTCTGCTCACTGCTAATCCCTAGATACCCACAATAGGGCCAGGCACAAAGTAGACATTCAATAAATATTCTTATAGTTCATGGACACATGTCGGCATGAAGAACTATCAAGGCCCATCAGAAAGAGGCCCACTCTGGGTTTGGTGTGTTTTCAGGGCCTTTAGGACTGAGGGGTGGCCTCATTGTCTTTGGGAACTCTGGCATCAGGAATTTATTAGACTTGAACACAAGTCCTTGCTGACCCTGAGGTGACAGATGTCTGGGTCCAAAGAGGGTTCCAGAATCCCAAATGGTACCTTGCAAGAGTTGACTATTAGAGTTGTTGTGAGTTTGGCTTTGTCCATTTGGTTTTAAGAGAGGCTTTTGCTATGAAGTCCAGGTTGCTTTCAAACTCTCCATTCTCCTGCCTCAGCCCTCCATGTTCTGGGATCGCAGAAGTGACATTGCTCCTGGCTCATGAGTTTGGCTTTGGGACCATACTACTTGGGGTCGAACCCCAACTCTCCCACTTCTCAGCTGTGTGGCCATCAACTCTACCTCTGCATTCCAGTTTCCCTGCCTGTCCAATGAGTGATGACTCTGACCTTAATTGAGTAATTTTCAGGATTGTGTATCAGTCTTGTGAAGTCCTTGCCTTGTAGGAGATGGTCAGTAAGAGGCTGGTGAAAACCATTTGGAGTGTATTTGGCTGGGTTATGTATGCCTCAGAAACAAACAGCCCCCAAACCTCAGTCATTTATCACAAGGATAATTTATTTATTTTTCTTTAGTATTATATTCACCCCCACTGCTCTCTTTTTATGCCTCCCACTTCTTTGTCTCAGTGAGTAGTGTGGTATATTTTTGTGCCTCCCACGTGTTCCATGACAATCAGCAGAGAAG